ATAAAATTTTGAGAAAATAGCAATTGTTTTTAAGAAAAATTTGGTACAAGTGATCATCGGGAAGAGTTAGTGATTTGTATCTTTAGTGATTAGACTAATAATCAATAATCTATTTAAAAATATAAGTATTTTTTTCTTGGTATTATTTATATAAAGTATAATTTTTTTATATTATAATTATAAAGCAAATTAAAATCTACTTAATATCATATTTATTTCATATTTACTATATATAATCTGCATTGTAAAATTGTAATATATATTTAATTATTTTTTAATCTTATATATTATAGGATTAATTTAGAAAAGGTACCACCACTAGTTCAACTATATATTAATTGTGGACGTGTTTCTAGACATGCAACAAAAGCAAATTAAATGGTAATAGAAAGTTGGTATAAATATGCTATTGGTTATAATCAAAGAGTAAAAGAGTTTTTAAATAATGATCGAAAACTTAATCTTAATTCAGCAAAAACAATAGCTTATAAAGAAATTATTAATCATCTTTCATATGTTTCAATAGATGCATTAAAAAAAAGAACTCAAAGAGCTTTTGTTATTTATGATTTATTTAAAGCAATTGGTGTTGACAAAATAGAAAGAATTAAATCATATACTGCTAATCAAATAGCTAGTCTTCTAGCACATTATATTAAAATGGTTAAAAATTATGAAAATTATAAACAATAAATTACAAGTTATAATTTATAACTTTTAATTTGTAATTTTTTTAAATAAATTTTTTTTAAAATTATTTTTTTATAAAACAAGTTTGAAAATAATAGCTTTTTATTATAATATACATATATTTTTTTAAAAAAAACTAGCCTCTTCAGACTAGAATTTTTTTATTCAAGAATGCAGAACAAGAGGTTCATCAAAGAATTCTTATATTAGATAAGTATATACTAGCCACATATATATTTTTAGTTTCTATTTTAAATAGTTTATCTATTTCTAAATTCTATACTAGATGCCGTACCTGTAACCTAACTATGGGTGTTATTCATTTAAACCCTCTGTAATATACTTCTATCTGTATTACCAGAACATTTCTGTTATAATTATCAGTTAAGAAGTTTCAGATAGTTTTAGAACTAATTTATCCTTAAGACATTATTTGCTAGAGTTTTCTATACTCACAATCTGGCTAATCTAGACTTCAGCTGATACGCATAGGCCAAAACCCACTACTTGTACTCTAGTTTTTATAGTAGAAGTATTCTTTAGCTATTTTAATCTTATCAGTTTTTTTATTATATTTTAACTAACTATAGTCTGATCACTACTACAAAACCTACTTCTGCTCTTATAGAGTTTACCCAAACTCTGATACTTCTTTTTAAGTTTATCTGATATCTTCTTTTTTTGGTACTGCCCTAGTTAATCTTTCCAAACTACCAATCTAACTAGCTTGGAAGGGACACTAGTCCCTTAGTATTTGCTTGCAGATTTTTTTCTTCTGATTGATGTTCTGGTGGCCTGGTTAATAGGATACTCTTGTCAGATACTTAGTCCTTGTTTAGTTACATTAATCTCAGATATATTCTATTCTAGTAGTATTGTTAAAAATCTGTGCTACCTCTATATTTAGGACTTGCTAAGTGAGTACTTTACTACCTTATCAGCCTTGTGGTTTTTGCAATACTAGTATATATTCTGTATAACTTTTTTATTACACAAATACCAAATCTCTAGTTCGAATAAATTGGTATGATCACAGTTACAGGGTCTCAAGTTTTTCCAGTCACAATGATAGTTGCCAAATCCTTTTTTCTAAATTCAATTTTTATCTTCAGTAGGAATTGAACTTGTACTCAACTACTTGGAGGTGCAACAACTTCATTATTCATTAAGTCACTATACTTTCCTTTTTATTTTAATATTGTATCAAGTAATTATTATAATCTTAATATAAGTTATTGTTAGAAAGTTTTTACTTATTATATAAATATAATCCTTTTGAAATTGTTAATTGATTATTTTCAAGGATCCTAGAGTCAGTTATTTGACAATTATAAAAATTAAAATAATTAATAAAATAATTATTTTAAATCTTACATATTTTATAACCTCTTATATATTTTTATACATTTCTTGCATAATTATATATACTATATATACTAAAAATAAACTACTATTTTTGGTCAAAAAGTTATATAAAAATTTTGCAGATAGCTTATTTTGTGATAAAAATATTTTTAGCTAATTATAAAAATTTTACTAAATAAATTGATTATGTATATTAAATAAAAATTATTTAGAAGATTAAAAAATATAT